TTCATTTCAGAGGTGATTGGTTTGGTGGAAAAGGTGTAGGCTTAGTGGAAATTGAAATTGAACAATACCGTATCAATTTTTATGCTGCTCATGTAAATTTTTCTAACATATTCTTGCATATTAATACTCTGTTGAGATTTTCATAGCAAAAGCAGGGATAAGTTTGCAAAAGATTAAGGCAATCATAGTTCCTCTCTCTTTACATTCGTTATTGTGTACTTTTCAGATCTGAACTATTTCTTTCATAAATTCTTTCTGGTCTTTTATAATAGTAGATCAACATCTAGTTTTTTAGATGAATTAAATCAAATGATTTTTTTGAAAATTTACATTTATAGCTTCACGCGGAATACGATCCTAACAAAGACCTCTATTTGCCTCATCGCCTTGCACAAGCTTTTGAACTAGCTCAGTTTGTCAAACATACAAGTTATTCTGCTGATGCCTTAATTCTTGCTGGTTTGTTTTCTCAGTTTATCTTGAACACTTCCTAACTATTCACTGATGATCAGTGAAATTTTTAATAAACAACTGATGGTCAGTTGTTTATTTAAAAAAGTTAGCAAAATACTTAGTTTAACTAAAAACTGGTTAGCGGAACAGTTATCCTGTGACAGCCAATATCTTATATTATTTCTTCATTGATTGTGTCCTGCCGTTGTGTTTTACATATAACAGATGAGATTTTCAATCCTAATTTGATGAAAATCACATCTCACACTCTACTGATTTCCTAAAAGTGGAAATTTTGAAATCTAATATTTGCCAAGTCAGAATAATTGTTCCTTTTTTGATTGATGTGCATTATATTTCAGGTGACTTTAACATTGAACCTGATAACCTTGCTTATCAATTAATTATGAAAAACGCAAACTTGAGAGATGCTTGGATTCAGAAACCGGTTACATATCATCATTTCATTTTAGGATAGAAGTCACTGGATCGAACTTATTTGAACAAAGTCTTGAAGTATTGAAATATCCGGTCTGAAAATAATATAGTTGTTTTCATTGGAGATCAAAATTGTTAAGAATAGGCAGAAATTGAATCTATATTTGAGAGGAAGAATAAAATGTTAATATTCATATCTAGCTTTAGTTCCCTTAAGTTTTTTGTTTAAAGAAAAAGAAGGTTCTAGAAATTTATTCCTTACTGTTTCAGAATAGCTGTGATGATTGTGGTGCAACTTTCGAAAGGCTTGATAATTGTTATACACCTCAACGGCTCAAAAATAAAAAATGTTACGGAAAACGTTTGGATTATATTATGTATAGAAGTGGAAAAAGTAAGTTTGCATAATTGCACATATTTGTGTTAAGAGTGTGATTAGAGGACTTTTGCTTGGCACTTAATGCAAATTTAACTGCAGTTTATGTGTGCTATTCCATTTTGCTATTTGATACTAAAGCACATTCTTAAACAAACATGATTTATGTGTTCATAATTGTACGCTCTTTTGTGGCTTTGTATTTTTTTTTTCTAATTTAATTATGCTTTCAGTATTTATTTTAGACAATAAGAATGGATTTAAACGAAAAGCAAAATTAAGCGTTCAATTATTAAAAAGAAAAAAAACAAAAACATTTCTTTATCACATTTGGACATTCGATGAAAAATGAATTAATTGCACAAGATGATGTGATAGAAACTCTAAAGCATTTATCGAAGTTAAACTTACATTTCAAAAATGATTATGGTTATTGTTTAGTGATTTCGTGCAACTAAAGCATTCAGAATTCTACGGAACTATTAGTTCTGAGAAGTATGCTCAGTAAATTGTTATGAAAATCAAAAGTTGCATTAGTATTAGTTATCAAAAAAAGTTTGGTTTTTTTTCCAACAACACCGCATTGCATATATCATATAACCAGTACTAGATATTGAATGAATTACTACTCTATGAATTTTGACTTTTTCATATTTATCTAATTTCTCGTCAACCGTCTATTTTAGAATATGTCAACAGAAATAATTTCTAGTAGTAACTAGTAGGATGTTTAGAAATCTCCTGGCGTTCATAAAGTATCAAAGTGTTCGGTTGTTTGTCAAACCGCTATCACTGTCTGAAACTGCAGTCAAACCGCTGTCACATTTATCCAACACATCTTATTATTTCATTCATATGCTGAAGTTGTTGCTAAATCTCTAGATTTATGTGATTCTGAGAAAAAGGAAATTAGAGAAAACATATTTTTATCAATAGTTTTTATAATTTAATAAATTGAAAAATTCATGTATTAGCATGCATATTATTTAGGTAAAATAGAATTGAAGCTGTGTGAAATAAGAATGAATCGTATCCACGATCAGAAATCAATCAACTACAGCGATCATGTTGGAATTTATGCTGAATTTTCTGTATCAGATCAATACGACGAGGTATATATCGATCTATTTTTTTTTTTATTTGTTGAGGAAATAATATGAAACTAAATTCCGATGTTATATTTCTTTTTGAAAAAGACTATCCAACCAGGTACCATCTTTTTAATGCGTTATGGTTTAATGTTTAGAGAAATCTTATTCGTACTAATATTTTTGTAAAGATTCTAATTTGCCGTACAAAACTCTGGAACGTATGAAATATATTCTAACTTTTTGCATTTTTTTAAGCCCAAAAAATTTTTCTTTCTTTTTTATTACTCTAGATTAAGTAGATGATGATAAAATCAATTTTTAGTTTCAAAATACTTCTAAAATTCAGGCATTCAAATTTGATGTATAAAATGGCTTTTGTTTATTACAGATTACTAAAAGCCTATCATTAACTCCAGCAAATTTGCTAAAAAAAGTTATCGAAACTCAGCAAGAAGGAATAACTCGTGTCAGTCGAGATCGGTTTATTTTTCTTGCCTTAGTTGTTATTCTTGTTGGACTTATTTTGGCTACTTTTTCTGCTGAGCAGCATATTCCTGTTGTTAAAACATTGGTTAGTTGTTGGATGTATTTCTTTTTTGCATATTTCATTTGAATTCATTATTGCAAAAATTTTTAATGGAAATATTTTTTGTTTCAATTATTATCTTTTACATTATACTGACTTTTCGAATTAAAAGTAAGTTTGCTTCAAAATTCAGTCTGATCATAAGTGGAACTATAAGAGAATTGTAACAAAGAGAAACAGATCGAAGTATATTTTCTAGGAAACTTCAAATACTACTGAACTTTCATTTATAAATTTATAAGATTCATTTTTTTGAGTGTTATTATGTGCTGTTGCATTAGCAAACAGATAAGCTTTCATTTAAATTTATATTCCAGGCATTAACACTTCGATTTGTTCTCACATTATTGATAGGATTTTGTTTGTGGCATGGTTTAATTGGCTTAACATTGGAGTACAAAGCATTGAAAGCATCGAAAGCATCAGTATCTATGTTACTGAATGAATAGATAAATGTTTTTATTTTTTCTTATATTGGAAATACTTTTACTCTAATTTATCATACTTTTTATTTAAAAATCTTTTGTTACTTTTGTTCTAATTTATCATACTTTTTATTTAAAAATTCTTTGCTTTTCTAAGTCTATATTGGCTTGATTTGGATATTTAGGCACATGTGATTTTTTACGTAAAACTAAATTTTCATAAATTTTAGTTGCAATATCATGTGATATGTATATGGGATTCATTTTTTTTTTTTTTTTTTATGGGATTACTTGTACTGTCATATTCTATCACTGCCGGTTATTTGGTAAAGTTGTTTTTGGTTTTCATTTTAATATCCATTGTTATCATTGAATAGTTTCAATAGTAAAAAGTAAAAGATTTGATTTCATAGCGTTAGGTGGAAATTTTTATACTTTTACATTCCACCATTTCAATTATAATTATGGATTTTTGGTATTTCATTGTTATAGTTACAGTTACATCGTTTAGTTCTTGTTGTATTGTCAAACCAATGTTTAGCTTCTCCGTTACTAGGTGCAAATTTCAAGAAAATATCTTTCAAATTGCCAATCTTCGACTGTGTATAATTTCAAAAGCAGTCCTTAATTTTTTATATTGATGTATCTGTAGACGTTATAACTATCATTAATGTTATATTTGTGAAAAATGAAGTAGTTTGGAATACTTTAATATTGTTTTACATTCCAATATTTTGTAATATATCTTTTTCTATGTGCAGTAATAGACAAAACATCCAACTAAGGATTTCAAATAATATAAAATTATCCAAATTCGATTAGGTGTAGATATTTTCTGTTTGCAACCTCTAGCATTATAACATTTGCTAGTATAAATAATCTGTATGCAAATTACTTACTATCAGTTTGTAATTTAGAAAAAAAAAAAACGATTAGAAAATTGGAGAAAAGATGAAAATTAGGCAAACTGTTTTCAAATTAGCAATACATTCGATTGTAATAATTATTTAGTTTGAATATAACTTGGATAAATTATGATGACGTATTTGTAATGATATCATGTTGTTTGTCGAATAATTAAAAGATATTTGCAAATACGAATGTAATTCATTTCTGTTTAATTTAAATGGTAATAAAGTGGTATTTATCTGTTGCATAAATTGTTTTCATTTCTTCAAAGATGGAAGAAAAGAAAGGTTTTTATTAGCCAAAATATTTGTTAATATTGTAAATAATTTCAGTTATTATCAATATAACTTCAATAAGGAATGTTATCATCATATTTATTACAAAAATTTTATTTTCTTTTTATTATTTATTATAATTTTTGCTAAAAATTTTAATAGATTTCGTCATTTTTTGTTTTTTGAAGTGTTTTTACTGTAACATATGATAAAATTGATATTTCGAGATTGAATTTAAGTAAAATAGAAGATGAACAAAATTGATATATAATTACGTTTCAGTAATGTCAAATGCGTTGAAACTTAAGAAAATAATTAATTAATTTGTATTTAATTTAAAGTTTATAATAAATTGAGATATTGCATGCATTTGGATTGATTTCGGTTTCCGGAGGCTTATCACGTGTTTGCTAAGTGATCCGGCAGAGATTCAATTCTTAGTAAAAGATGCTAAAACGATTAGGATTTTTATGCATGAAAATGCATTCCAATTTGGAATATTCATTACAACCATCAATTTCGTTGTTGCAAATTTCTCAAAGGTATCGTGGAACATTGTATCCTGGTACCAATATTTCGGTTGAAGAAGCTTGGAAACGACGAATACAACTTCGACAACCAAAACTACAATGTGATGAAGAGGTAAAAACATCTTCTGGAATATGATTAGTAAATATTTGATGAAAACAATTATTTGAAGAAAAATGTGAGGCAACTTTTTTTTTTTTTCTAAAATGGAAGCTTAATATTTAAAATTTGGATCGTCATATTGATTATCTGTGAGATGCTTATAGGTACAACCAAAATTGTATTATGCACCTGAGTGGGATTTGGAGAAAAGACATGATGGTGAAGAAGGTGAAGCACATCCTATGATTGGTCAGGATGTAATGACCCCTGAAAAATGGAACTACTATAATAAAGTTGGACTTCATATTTTTTTTCAAATTATCTTACTTATATTATTGCAAGAATTTACACACAAGAATTCATTTGTTCTACAATTCTGCACTCTGTATTTGATATTCTGGGATTCCGGAAAATATTACTTTTCCAGGAATCTGATAAGATTTTTAAATTTCATACTTTTTCTTCTTTGAATGCATTTGTTGAATTTCTTATATCAGTACATTAAAATGGAACTAGTATAATAAAAAAATTTTTTTCACATTTTAAAACAATCTGTATAATATTTAAAAAAGATTGCTTTTTCAGGTTGTTTGGCCACCAAATTATGTTAGTCCTGAAACCGGTTTGCCACTTCTGCGGCAAGTTTACTACTGTCGTGAATCAGTCCATTGTAGTCCCAAAAGAATGTTTATGGCTTGTCATTTAGTTTGGCGTTTGAATGTTGATGAAGCATTGGAGCAATTAAAATTACAACGTAAAAAGGTTTTGAATTTCTTCAAAATTCACTGTGCAGTTTTTGTTTCAGTTTTTAACCATTTCAGTGTTTAACTGTTAAATTTATCCATCAATCAGAATATTTCTTTTAAGAAGTTTTAATATTATTTGTGAAGTTAGAATTTTTAAATTTCGCTCAGTTTCAGGCATGCATGATTTTAAGGCAAGTTCTTACTGAAGCAAAAAAGAAGGCATCGGAAGAATTTCACGTTGAATTTCCATCAGATATGCATGTTGCGGAAGCATTCCCAATTCAATGTCAAATTGTCAAAGGTTATAGACGCCATGCACGTGAACGTATTACTGTCACGAGATATCGATATATCAATATTTTCGTAAGGTCAGGTTTTTTTTCCGTATTCACAATATTATATCTATTTTCTAATAGCTGATTATTTAGCAAGTTTATAATTCCTTAGCTATAGTCGGTTGTAGTATTTTATGGACTATATCATTCTCTAACCAAACAAGAAATTCTTTTCTACATTTTATAAACTTATTCATGTTATATAAAATTTAAATCTTTTATTGAGTACTTTCTTGTATTTCAACTAAATTTTATGGTGTTGTAAAGTAGGAAAAAATTGTAATGTGTGTTAAGAATCACAGCTTATGATATGATTGGAAGTATGTTATCCAACTCAATAAATTAGAAATGGTTTTTCAGTTCTTTCTTTTTCTTAATATATAATTTAGTGATAGGTGATGTATTTATAGACTCGAGGAAGGTGATGGACCACCAATGACAAAGAGATGGGAGCCGAAGAACGGTTGGGATAAAATGAAGGATTATTATAAATATTTGAGAGAACGCTGCATAGAATATAGCATTTAATAGTTTTCATTTCTTTTGCCATATTTTATGGACGAATGAGATTTTATAAAAGTCATTTCTATCCTGCTTGCCTTTGGCCTGTAGATAATCTAAATTATAAGATCGAAAGGCTGTTGATTGAAAAATGTTATATTTGTTAATCAAATTGCTCTTTATCATGTTTGAAGTTGTATGTTGTGACTTTTCTTTGTGTGATTTGATAAATTTTCGAGAGATTTATTGTTGTCAAAATTCAAAGTTTGTGTTAACTTTTTTATTTCTAGATTTTGCATAGTAATAACGCATAAAGAGATGGTTGATATCAAAGGAAAGGATTGATAGGGACTTTATTTCTCCATATCTATTTATTTTCATTAAAAAATATTTACTGTTGTATTTTTAAAGTAAAGATGTTCGTTTTATAGTAATTTAGACAAGTTCAAAAACTGAAAAATGAATAATTTCAGATCATTTCAGAATAGTACTTGGAGTTGATAAGGAGTCAAAAATGGTAGATGGAATTGTTGAAGAGCAAGAAATAGATGACATAGATATAGTTGAGACGAGTATTAGCTTAGAAAAAGAAGCAAATGAAAGGAAACGACGGCTTAGAGAAATGCGTGAACGAATGCAACAAGGAGGCAAGTTTTCAGCTTTTTCTAGAACATTGAAAACAATGCAGGCTATTTGCGTGAGGTTTATTGACGTGCAAATTATTCACGTGAGGATTATTGATAACAATGGAGATTGTTTACATAGGATTTTTATGTTTCCTCATTTTATATGCACTAAGTAAATATACATTAGATTGAATCAATGATTAACTGTTGAAGAATAAGACTACAGAATTTATTTCTCTTCTGTAGCTTTATTCTTTAACATGGTTATAAGGGAATTCAAGTTCTCTAACTAGTAAAAGACTATCAATTATATTGTGATCATTTTTTTTTGCGAGATTTCAGGTGATGGGTCAGAGTCTGGACCATCAGATAAATCGTTAAAGCTTACATTTCGAAGTTATGAGCCACAAAGTAATTTGGGTGATAAACGTGATGATGTGGATTTATTTGCTGTCGAGAAGGAGATTGCTGATCAGTTAGCAGATACCCAAGATACTAGAGCTGTGGAACAAATTGATATTACGACGTTGGCACCACGAAAGGTACGTCTATTTAATTTTCTTTTTTCGTCTTTTTTTTTCTCAAACAGAACATATTTTTTTGTTTTTGCACGCAAAGATTTATGTTAAGAGATGAAATCGTATCTAAATTACATAATGCACAACGTGCAAATTTTGTAATCTAATTAACAGTTTTTCATTAATAGATTGACTGGGATCTGAAACGTGATATTGCGGAAAAATTGGAAAAATTAGAAAGACGAACAGAACGTGCGATGGCGCAGTTAATTCGTGAACGGCTGAAAGCTGGTAAGACGGAATTGGTTGATGCTGTTAATTCGGGTGCTTACAGTGAATTACAACCTGATGACTGAAGAATATCTGTCTCAGTTTCTACCTAAGTACAAATGAATGTTACTTCTTGATAACAGTTTCAACTTTTTCTTCTCAATTTGTGAAAGATTTATAAGGGAAGTCATTCGTGATGATTGTCGTTTTATTTATAATCATTCTCTTCATTGCTTTGTTAGATGCGAAACTATTTGTTTCCTTTTTTTTTCTTCTGGATGCAATTGTAAGCGTTTCGTGAAATGTTGTTTTGGTAATAGCCAGTTATTTCGTTCGGTTTTGCATACTTCAATTTGCGAAAAATATCCAAATTTTATTTTCGTTTTTTTTTTTTTTTTTTTGAGCAAAGCTTTGAAATGAAAGTACTTTTAGTTGTAAAAGAATGAGTTATGAAGAATTTGAAAGAAGCAACAATAAATGACAATTCACTCTTTTACATGAAGTTTTTTGAATTTCGAATCAGATCTAATACTTTCATCTCTTCCTTATCAATTATTGGAGCAGACTGATAGATAAAAATCCTTCGATTATATCGATATTAAATACACAATTCAATTCTTTAACACGTATAATTTTATCACTAAATAAAAGGAACTATTTTTGGCACTATAATTTCCATCTCAAGCTGCTATTACGGTTACTATTGTCAAAAGAAATTGTCATCTATACTAATCATTTAGCAAACTATGTGATTACTTGATTCATGCATAGTCCCATAATATCAATATCAAATTTGCACTTACCTCTTAATAAGACGATACTGAATGAAACGAGTGTTTGAATGCGGCAGATCCATATTAACAAGAACGATTATCGGACTACTAGCACCGAATTTAGGGTCTATGAAAATAAATAGCAAAAGTAAAAACAAATTTGAGGTTTATTTTTATTTCATTGTTTACTCCATCAATATCTATCTGGTGGGAGAGTGGAATCATTCTGATGGTATTTTCCAGATCTAGAGCTCCGATATTATTTGGCACCGATCAGTACGCTTATTTCTATTTCTCTTTTGATCATTCAAAGACTTCTAACAAGCACTGATGAATTATTTGGTTCTAAACAGCAGTACTGGACAGAGAGAAAGGAAAGTAAGATCTCTTCCACTGATCGGTGGGATTCAAAATAAATGTTCCGAAAAGGAGAAAAACCAAAAAAAAAAAAAAACTGATTTTCAGTAAGAAAAAATCATTTTTCTGGATTTTTCTCGACTTTTTTCCTGGTTTTTGCCGCCGTTTTCTGCTACCTGCTACCTGCCCCTACCTTCAGTCATATCCTATATCACCTGCTGTTTTTTATAAGATGGTAGGAGAATATATAATCGATCTGCAATCCATTTCTTGTCACTCGATCTCCTGATTATCCAATGCTTCGATCTTATAAAAAAGGATTGCAGATCGATTATATTTTACTGATAAATGTAAGAAAATGATTACGAGAGATAATCAAAAGAGAGAAAGGAGAGGAAGAAAGAAAGCTAATGATGATATGATATGAAATTATTCCTGAATTCTTTCACAAGATTTAATTTTATAAAAACTAATACTCTTTGTTTATTGTATTTTACTAGCTGGTATGAACAACTGATGATCGGCAGTACTTCCGGAAATCATTTGTAAAGGATTTGTTAAACATCCTAGAAAAGTTACAAGCATAATTAACTTGTTCCCACAGTACAATGATGATGGATTTTCCCAGACATAAAATTTTGGGATTCTATTTAAGTTTTTTGATCAGCTTAATTCCCTAGAAAAGTACAATGCGGAAACGATTACTTTATATCAGGAATTTCTAAATTAAGAAATTTATTTAGCCAGATAAAAATTACCTAACAGTGAAAAAGACACACACCACAGTAGTGGAAGAGCTGTACGGAGACAATGGGTGACTTATGGATTAGTGTGGTTTCAAGTTTATCACTATGACAGCTCATGTTTATCACATTGATATCTCTCAGTCTTTATCAGTGTGATATGTTACATTAGGTTAGATTTGTTAATGTTAATGCGTATTGCAGTAATTGCTAATCTTATCGTATAGAAAAGTTTGCTGAAATGAATGACAAAGAAAGCGATGAAATAAATGATTTAATTGATAAGATTGGAAGTATTTGTTTCTAGAACTCGAACTACTATCACATATTCATATATAAATCTCAAAATAATTTATTGCGCTTCGTTAAAATTATATTTCATTTATTAAACAGCTAAATTTTAATTAATATTATGCATGACAACTTATGCACATAAAACCGGTTTACGTTGCTACATTTGAATGGTTTTGTTGAATTAGCATTCTTATGTAATTGTTGCCTTACTAAAGTAAAACCAAAAATTAAATTTGAAAATTTTGATAAATTTATAACTAAACTAAGATTTTGTGACAAATATATGATGGATTTTTCCTGATGTTCCTGTCTAAATTTCTCCTTTTTATGCAAACTTTCCGAAATTATTAGCAACTAAAAAAATGAGAATACTAAGAATAAATGAAAAAAGAAATTCTTTTCATAAAAAACTAAAATTTCCATCCTTATCATTCTTCATTCCTTTCATAAAAATGTTTGTTGAGAACGAAAAATTTTTTTAAATGAAGTTGTCACATTAATATTTTAATATGTTACTGTCAGATTATTTATTTTCCCATGAAGATTTTTCAAGTGAAATCTTTTTTTGTTACTATTTGAAGATGTAATGTTGATATTGTTTAACTGTGGTTACTTGCATTATAAATTTCACTAAGTCAAAAAAAGACAAGAGTAGTGCTCGTTCTTTTTCTTTACTTGAACCTTATAATAATCGTTCATTTTTTTAACCTAAACCTTTTCTGATTGGAGATTAGGACGATTAAATCTGTTTATAAATTTGCTTATTATTTGCATATACATTGGTAATTAAAAAATTATGTCTAATTTTGTGTAAAGTGTAAGGAGGTAGGTAGATAAACAAATAAATAATTATTTTGTGGAGTTTTTTTTTCTTTTCTTTTTTAACAATACAGCAGTCTAATTAAATAATGTCCAAACATTCCAAATATAAATAAAAAAGTAAATATCATTTTATCAGTTTTATTTTTTGTCTTTTCTCTGTAAATGATAACATTTATCATTCCTTTGTATTATGTCTTACTTTATTATGCTGTAATGATAGAATTATTATTATTGTTATTATTATTACATCTATTACATCACAGGACTTCTTTTAATATTAAATCCTATAATATTTGTAGATTAATGGTTTAAAAAAATGGATTTGGGAAGAAAAAAATGAAGGACAAATATATTACCGAAAATATTATACCTGACTGATCAATTATGCGGCAGGAACAAACAGGATTATAAATATTTCCAAGTTTTGATCGATGTGGTTTTTAGCATTTATTGGTCAATTCTGTAAATGAACGAATTAATTGGTAAATACTCTTTTGGAAATTTAAATTTGCTTCATTCCTTTTTTTTTTTTGGATAAAATTTAACCTTTGTATGCGTTTTTACCAAAGGGAAGCAGGTATGATAATATAATTTTTTTCAAAAATGTTACTCAAAAACTGGAAATTTTATGTTACATAGTTATGATAATAAGGAAAGTTAAGTTTGTGATTACACGTGCGAGACTATTTCATGCTTCAAAAAATCATGTTTTTTGAAAACTTTGCATAGATCAGGATTTTATTATAAAATATCAAATTTTATAATAGTTCTAAGATATATTGACTAGCATGTAAGATTTTTTGCATGCAACAGTCTTGCTAATGTTACGAGAAAAATCTAATTTTTAATTGAAATTGATTGTTCGTCGTTACCTTAGCAACAAACAGCTCTTCTTCATTTTATATATATCATGCTTCTTATGTGGTATGATAAACTAAGCATTCACTGATGAATGTTTTCATAGTTTTGTTTAGTTCAGAAGTTTTGATTGCTTCTGCTACAAAATGTTGCATAGTATTTTGCAGTAGTAAATACTGATCTTTATTTTCAAATTTTCGGGTATTGTTTTAAATTTTAATTGAGTATTCAAGTTATTGGGGATAGGAAAAGTCATGGATTTGACTGGTATATTACCGAAAATTTATTAATGCTAAAGCTTTAGATAGGGAAATCGGGATTAAAAATCAATCATAATTTGTTTCTTTTTTCTATAGCAACATTTTTTTCTATGGTTTATATATGGGAGACCGAAAAAACTGAGGATTTTTTGAGCTTAATATTTTTAATTTCACTGTCCTGTAAAATTATAGTTCTGCCGATAAGTTTGAAATTTTTGAGTTTTTTTATTGCTGTATTTTAGAATGAATAATTTGGAAGCATCAACAACAGTCCCGAAATATGATCAAGAGGAAGCTGCTGAAAGAATATTTGATATGATCAAAGAAAGTAGTGTTTCAAGCTATTCAGTTCTATTATTATTTATTTCATTGTCTTGTTTGCGAGTCTTATCGGCTATGTTTTTAAAGTTTCAGGATAATAGTCTATTAAAACCTTTACTGCAGATAACTTAGTATAAATGACTGATGTCACTAATGATTTGGGAAGACCGACTTTCAGTTTCGTCGCAGTGTCATATAAATATCCCGAATTAAAATCAATAAATTAGATCTATAAAATCGAAATTTAAATGAATAATTGTAATTTGATGTTCTTTGTTTAATTTAGAAAATGCGGAAGAAGTGTTACAAATTCTGAAGAGTATGCGTATTCCACTTGATTATACCGATAAGGTCTGATCAGTTCTGAATTTAACTGTTAACTGTTAATGGTTATAACTGTCTATGTAGCATTGAGAGTAGCTAATAAAATAAATGAAAGGTTATATTTTTTTTAAAAAGAAAACTAGGATTGTTATAATTACGAATCCTAGAATAGTGTATTTTTACAATTGCATTTGCCATACTGTATTTACCATATCAAAATTTTATGCAGTTAGAATGATATAAATTTTCGTTGCTGATTTAGATGAAAATACTGTATTCTAATTTCATTTTTATCTGTTGAAGCGATAACCTTCGTAAAGTTCCAGACTGGCAT